GAGAGAGAGAGAGAGAGAGAGAGAGAGAGAGAGAGAGAGAGAGAGAGGTGAAAATGTGCATTTCTTCACACTCTGCCTGTCCTTCCTACTCCTGCTCATCAGAATGCTGCTTCTATCATGGAAGTACCTGCAGAGTGTTGTCTTGAAAAGGTTCTGGAGCTTTCTTTGCATACTTCCTTACACTGTGTGAGCTATTAGGCTCTCTAAAAGGAAAAGCTGTCCTTAAGCTATTTACAGTCTTAAAAAGTTACAAGAAAGCTTCTGATTTGAGTATATTTGAAATGGAATTTTTTTTTTCTCTTAAGTTACTCCCCTCTCTCTCTGTATTTTGTAGGCTTTTCCTATAAAGGAATGGCTAATGTTCTAGAACCGTTGTGAAACCTGTCTGGACTTTATCATTGTTCATTGTTCAGTTTGTTCTGCCAGAATGGATCCTCACAGAATCACTGAAGCCATGGGCTGCCCTGCTCCTGGAAGGAGAACAGGCTTCCCAGCCACCCATTGCAACAGCATCACTGCTTCTAGAAAGTCTCTCTTCAGTGCTCATGCTGTTATTAAAGTAGAGCTTTCCTTTCATTAAACTCTAACGTAGCTGGTGGTGAGTTAACTGTGCTTACTGTCCTCATTGTTCTGCACTGCTTCTGAGAGAGGCCTTGCCCTCTGGACAGACCTTACTGTTTTCTTGTGCTGTTAGAGACATCTGTCCACCATTACCTAGGGATTAGCTACACTGGCTGTAAAACCATCTTAAATTACAAATTATTAGTGTACAGTCAAGGATGTTGTGATGATTAAATCTGGCAGTGCCAATGGTAAGCACATGCCGGCTATTTCTATACCCTAAATGTTGATATATTCTTTTTACCTTTATTTTTATTTAATTTATTTTAAAATTAAAGTCTAGTAAGTCTCCCTCCTTTGCTTTCCTCCCTCCAACCCCTTCCATACTCACCCTGAAACTTCTCGAACTGATGACCTCTTTTTTATTATTGTCACATACACAGAGATGAGCAACTTTGAGTCCATTTTTGTAGATTATGTGTATATGACTTTGGGCTGACCATTTGTATTGGGTAACCACTTATGGTGTTCTGCTCTTGGAGAGGCTGACACTCCCTCTCTCAGCAGTCACTAGTTGCCTGTAGTTCTTTGTCTGGGTAAGAGTTTCCTTGTTCTGCATTAGCTTGTCTGTTGTTTGGGCAGCTCTTTCACAACAGACTTCCCAGTCCTCTGGCTCTTACTGTTTTTCCACTCTCTTCTGAAATATCCCCTGAACCTTAGGTGCAGGAGTTGTATTGAAGACATATCCATTGGGACTGGGCTCCCCGTTGTGTTCATTTGTGTGCTAGCCTTCTCTTTTTCCCCCCTCTCTGATTTCTGGTAGCAAGCATGTTTTCCCTCCTGTTGTGTGTGTCTTAAATCCAATCTGACACAAGTGTTGGTTGCCACAAAGATTGGAGCTGTTACTGTTGCACCTTTAGGTATTTGCCATGCTGGTCAGTGTTCTGATTCGTAGGTACTACACTATATAGAATCGATTGCATCCCTTCGTTGATGACTTACATAGTACCTTCTGGCACTGTGGAACCCGGAACACAGGAAGGAGGCTTTCAGGTTCAATCCAGCTTACCTATCCAAGTCCTCTATATCCTGTGTGCTGGATGTTCAGCAACAACATCTTCCCTTTAACCTCTGTGAGACAACTGAGGGCAACAGCAATGTAATATGTTATATTGTTTTAGCAATCACTTAGATTACCATGAGCAACAACTAGAATGGAGGTTTCTCATGCCTGGTACTAGGGCATTGTGTTAGGTAAGCTATGGCTCATGTAGGGATCTTTGTCAGCCCAAAGCCCAAGTGATGTAACTTCATTTGAGGTAGATGTGGGTGGGTGGGTGTACCCATTCACATACATTTACATAGACTGCATGTAATTTAATTTTAGGTAAATTTAAAATAGTATGGTCATTAGAGGTTTTATTGAACACCCTTGTCATTGCCTGTCATGCAGCCCTCCTATATTGATCACTTTCTCCTTCCCCTCCTCCTCCCTGTTAGTCTTTTTCCCATTTCCCACATTTCCTCCTTCATATTGTCCTTGGTGACCTCCTTTCCAAATGGATGAAACATCACGTTGTGTGTGTGTGTGTTGTTTTTGTTTGTTTTCATGAGATAAGAGTTTTTCTGTGTAGCCCTGGCTGTTCTTGAACTCCATAGACTGGGCAGACCTTGAACATACAGAGATTTGCCTTCCTCTGACTGACTTACAGGCATGTGCCACCACACTCGGCTGACCACCTCTCCACCTTCATCCGTGCATTACTCCCTCCCATCCTGCATGCTTTTGCACGGGCTCTGCTGGTGCTGTTCTAGGACACAGGTGTCCTTAGCATTTCTCTTCCCACTGACCTGTGCTTTGCTTTGATACTGTAGTTTCTTCCAGTGAGATTGTTCATAATGCATTGAAATCTTACAGTTCCGATTTTTAAATACTCCTTTTGAAAAAGCACAATTATGGATATCTCTAGACAACAATTTTTCTCTGTTTCATAGCTCAGGAAGTGCTTCTGCAGAAAGACAGTTACAGACCACATACACAAGTGTTCAGCAGTCCGACATCCACGCTGTTAGGTCATGTCCATGCCCTTTTAGAAGTACTTATTTTCTGCAGCCATCAGAGGGCTGCCCTGTGATCACAGGACCATGGGCCATGGCCCGTCCTCACCCAGAGAGTGCCTCCAGTGTTCCATAGCCTCCTGGTGTCTACTTTGTTACAGAGCTCACAGATATCAGTGACCTATGTGGGTTCAAGCTTCTGCTTTTTAGAGCCTTCTATCTATTTCTTAAACATTGCTGACTTTCATTATTAAAAAAAGAAGTGGGCTAGTAAGATGGCTGGCTGGAGAAAGGAACTTCCCACCAAAGCTTCCAACCTGAAGTTGATCCCTAGAACCCATATGATAAAAGGGGAAAAAAAACAGTTGCACAAATGAAAAACTGAGTGAGAAGTGTAGTTTGGTGGCTGGATGCTTACCTAGCATCACAAAGTCCCAGACTTGATCCCCAGAAGTTGGGGAAAGAATAACAGACTGCATGTCTTCCAACGTGCTCTTTTTTAGGTCCACATCCTTTTCTGGATCTGTCTGTATTTGATACTTTTTCTTTAAACATGTTATTTAATTTTTTAAAAAAATTTATTTATTTATTTATTTATTTATTTATTTATTTATTTATATGTATGAGTACACTGTTGCTGTCTTCGGACACACCAGAATAGGGGATCCAATCTCATTACGGATGGTTGTGAGCCACCATGTGGTTGCTGGGATTTGAACTGAGGACCTCTGGAAGAGCAGTCAGTGCTCTTAACCGCTGAGCCATCTCTCCAGCCCCTAATTTTTTTTTTTAATGCCAGGCATGGTAGTGCGTGCCTTTAATCTAGCATTTGGGAGGCAGAGGCAGGCAGGTCTCTGTGAGTTCAAGGCCAGCCTGGTCTACAAAGTCAGTCTAGGATAGCCAGGGCTCTGCTATACAGAGACATTCCATCTTGAAAATAAAAATTTCTTTTTCATACAATGTATTCTTGCAATATTTTTTCCTTCCTCCCAACTTCTGTTCTTTTTCTCTCACTAAAAACAAACAAAACAAAAGCAATAAAAGCACACACAAAGGCATGGCATTCATTTGTGTTAAGCTGCTATTCCTCCTAAGCACAAATGCTGCCCTGGCATGTGGTGATTTACTCAGTGTCAGTCTAAAGTTGATTTGGGGACTCGAGAGGTGGCAGCACAGTTAAGAGCATTTGTTTCTCTTGCAGGGGACCCAGGTTGGATTCCTAGCAACTGTGATGGCTCACAACTATCCTTAACTCCAGGTCTAGGGTATCTAACAACAACTTCTGATCTCCACAGGCACCATGCACACGTGTGGTGCATGTACATCTGTGCAGGCAAAACATACATACACATAAAATCAAATCTAAACATTGAAAAGTCTGGCTCCCCTCACTCACTCCTCCCCCCACCGTGTGTGTGTGTGTGTGTGTGTGTGTGTGTGTGTGTGTGTGTGTGTAAAGAAGGCTGTCCCAACAGCTATCAGTTCCACATAGTTTCTTTGTTAGGTGTCCATTGGCAGCTCCCCTTCTCTGCACCTACATTGGCTTCCTTACATTTCTCTAACTTCTGACCACTTGCCATCCTCACAGTACCCAAAGCAACTGGCCTCATTGTTTTCTTCACTCACAGTTTAGTTGTAAAACAGTTTCCCACTTCCCTCCCCTCCTATCTGTTTCACTTCCATTTCCTTTACTATCCATGGGTCCTTCTTTATTTGGTCAATTAAATATTATAGATAATTAAGGATTACTTCTCGACCCTGTCTCCCTGTGGTATTTGCATTGTGTTGCTTCATGACTTCATTCAACAACATGGCTTTGTCTAGCTCCTGCACATTGACTCTATCTAATCTTACCTCTAAGCCAGCCCTCTGCTGAGCATTAAAGTGATTTTCTTTTAGGGATCTCAGAGACATCTCAAACACAACCTGTCTAAAATCAGAATCACAGTCTCCCTTCTTAACACTTGATCTTCCAGCGTTCTTTATGTGGAAACCCTCATTCAGTCAGCTAAAGAAGTTAGAAACCAAGGGATCACTCTATTCCTGTTGTTTGTATACCTAGGAGAGACATGAGGAGCCCAGGGACAGATGGCTTTAAAAATTATGGCGTTACTGGAGAGAATTTTTGAATTACTTTCCCCTTCTTTCATGATTTAGAGAATGTCTTTACATTGTCTTCCAAGATAGCACCTTGTACTACAATTAGATGTGGTATTTATAATAAATATATTTGTTATATGATACAAATATATTTATTATAAAATGTTGCCAAAAGAACCTGTTTTAGTTGAGTTTTATTTTCCCCCTTTTAGAGATACAATGTAGCCAGGTGAGTTATATGCTTAGTCTATTCTGGCTCTGGCCACTTTTTTCAAATAGTTTTACAAAACAAAAGCATATCTTTTTAACAATATTTTATAATAGTGTATAAATTCAGTTTTGGGGAAATTTCTCTTTCTGTTCCTTGGACATCTGCACCGTTGGAAGCATTCTAGAAGCATCTTTGAGGTTGTTCATGTGGGGACAAGTATCAAAGAGAGCAGAAAGGAAGGCTACTGGGGCATCTATTGTCTGTAATCGTCCCCACTGAAAGTGTAGCTAGAGTGTGAAATGGCCATACTATATAAAAGACTGTTTAAAACACTGCTGCATTATTTTATGTTATTTACAGCAAGAAATTTTGTTCTAATTTTAAATATTCTCTTTAAAGATCTATTCTAGTCGAGAACTTGAAGAAACGTTAAATAAGATCAGGGAAATTTTGTCAGATGACAAGCATGACTGGGACCAGCGTGCCAATGCAGTAAGTTCTCATTCATTATCTTCTTATCCCTCTCTTCTTACAGCGTTCCTATTCAAACCTTGAAGAGGACATGTACTCAGCTGTGGTACAGCTGAGAGTAGTCATAAGTTAGAATCTGATGTAACATTTCTGGATGGGAAACATGGCTGTAGTAGGCATTATCGGCTTTAGATTGTTGTTTTTTCTTCTGATTTTGCTGATCACGTCAGTGCGTGTCCCACAGCCTGTCTCCCTGGTGTGTGAGGGTGAGAGAGCTCTGGCCTGGCCTCTGGAGTCATGGAGCTTGCTTGTCAGCACCGTCGTCAGTGTGCCCTGAGTCATGAGGACTTGCCAGAGAAGAGATTGGCTGCTGCTCAGCATTTGTTCAATATTGGCATAATTCCACAGCAGTGTGTCTGTTTTTCTGACTCTTAGAGTAAATATGGGTGAATGAATTATTTAAAAAAATTTTTGGTCATCCTTGAACTAGGAATAGTTTATTTGTAGTAGATTTCTTGAAGAAAGTATTAGATGAATCTTAAAATAATGATTATGTTGACATCAGTTCTATATTGTATTTCACATTCTGTGATGTCAATTTTGTCAAATGACAGTGAGTACCTCAGTATCCCCAAGGCCAGGAAAGAGCACACTTGAAGGTGGCCTGTATTCTCAAAGTTTCCAGTCTGACTAATTATGTATCTTCCTGACAAATAGTGCTTTTATGACATTATGCATTACAGATGGTTTTTCTATCTCTGTTTAGAAGTCTATATTTGTTGGGCAGTGGTGGCACACGCCTTTAATCCCAGCACTTGGGAGGCAGAGGCAGGTGGATTTCTGAGTTTGAGGCCAGCCTGGTCTACAGAGTGAGTTCCAGGATAGCCAGGGCTACACAGAGAAACCCTGTCTCGAAAAAAACAAACAAAAAAACAAAAACAAAACAAAACAAAAAAACAACCTCAGGAAAGGGAAAGAAGGGGCGGAGGGAGGGAGGGGAGTAATAAAGAAATTAAAAAAAACAAAGAAGTCTATATTTTTGAATGTTTAACATAGTGTTCTTAACACAGAAAATAATGTTCTGAGTTTGTTTAAATATGATTTTTATTTACTTTTAAAGTTCTACATCACACATAAACCACAATTTAAAAAATAAAACAACTTTTTCATCAATGACCTATGGAGAAACATCTCAGATTAAAATAAAAGACATGAACTTGAACCTGAAGGTTTTTTGTTTTCCTTTGAAAGTAGTCATTAAGAAATAATTAGTCTGAATGTTTTTTGGAGTATGACATTTTCTCTGTGCATTCAGATGTGTGTGAAAACATAAATATAATACTCCCCACTCCTTTTATTCAAACTAAACAATGCTTAATCAATTGCTCTTTAACAAATTGTACAGTATACCTGGTTATACATGTTAAGCCTGTGTTAGTTGCTCAGATAGTTACTGAATGCTGATTGATCTGTGTGTGCATTCGTTAGTTTGATATCTGTATATGTAACTCATTAAGCTCATTCTCATTTGGCAATTATATAGATTTTTAAGGTTTTCTTTTTTCATTTTAACAATGTAGGAGAGGGATTTTTTTTGTTTGTTGATTTAGATAGGATCTATATGGTATCATTGGCTTGTCCTGCAACTTGTGTAAAGCAAGCAACCACTCCGAGAGAGAGAGAGAGAGAGAGAGAGAGAGAGAGAGAGAGAGAGAGAGAGAGAGAGAGAGAGAGGAGAGA